GTCGATTCATCGAGCCCCTAGTAGGTTGCGGTACAGCGGCAGGAGAATGTGTCATGCAACGAGAGCACTCCGCTCTTCCATAGAAATGGCTACGGAGGGTCTAGTTTTCTGCCCGTTAGCTGGTGCAGTTCTCAAGTGCTACCACATGTCCAAGCCCTGTCGCACCGTGGGCTCATGGAGGTAGCGGTTACCACATTGTTGTGAGTCGTCGACTCAACACGCAGGTCCAACTCGATTCAGGAATGCCTCGATGCCGTGGCTTCGAAGATGGGCACTGCTGGGGGCTCCTCGGGGACTCTCGATGGTGGCACTTACCCACGAGAGGTGGTCAGAGGACCGTCCAAGTTGATAGTATCTACAGCAACTGATTCGGTGCTGAAGGTGACGCCTATGTTGGCCCTTGGGGATGACGTGGGTTCGTCAACTGGAGGGACAGTTCGTACAGGTAAATTCAGTTTGACAACGTTATGCAAAGGGTCAGACTCAGGGCGAGAAAACCACAGAACTTCAGGCAATCACTCGAGGGCTGAAGTCAGCAGGGAAGGCGTGCCAAGTGTTCACCAGAGCGCTGACCTTTGGGCGAACATCTTGTCCGGGGTTAAATGCCTCGGGGATTCGGCTCCTACGAGGAACATAGCCGACAGTGAGGATGATGGGGATAACTCGTCTCAATGGAGTGCTCTACAAGAGGCTCCCTGCGGGGTATCATCGGATGGATCCTCATCGTGGAACCCTGCTAAGAATGAACTCGGGATTCCCCTTGAATTCGGCAATCAACGACCGACAGTCTGGAGCGACATGAACTGTCTTGATGACGATGGACTCAGCTCGTCGTTTCCTAGGTGTGACGTCTCTCTGACTGGCGATAGCGGTGAGTAAGTGGCCCGTCCTGGGCCCTATGTGGGATAGTATAACAGTTGCTAACTTGGTAGGCAGGTACTGACAGCTTCCATATATCCTATGATAATGGCTTGGACCCCATCGACGAGCCCTGCGTAGCTGGTCTGGTCGATGAGCTGGATTCGCCAACATTTGGCGTTCGAGGTGATCCATGTAAGGTTCCTACATAGCCACCTAGAGCACAGCAGCTCATGGGGAGTCTCATGCTTGGCCACTTTGATCGACCTTCAGGTGACTCTCAGTGTATAGATGGAGAAGTTTTGAAGGGTGATTCAGTCCAAAGCGAGGCTCCCGACTCGTTCGATGACCTCACAATCGAGGATATCGACGCGTTGTTAGCAGCGGATGAAAACCTCTTGTCTCGAGTGACTCCGTTCGCATCCTGCTCCGCGAATAGAGAGCATGGCAGCAGTCCAGTGAAAGTTTCTCTTCCCAACATATCGCGCAACGAGAAGAAAAAACGGTCTGATGGTGACACGTGTTATGCCACTGTTCGAGGCTCGCTGTGCGAAGACCTGTCACAGCAGATTACGGATGGACGGTCTCATGTGAATCGCTCTCAGCACGATACAGGCTCACAGAGAATTCAGCGTACCACCGATAGACGGGCACAAGTCCAGAGTTTGAGTCCTGTCGCGAAGACAGGTAAACCAGATTTCATCCACAGACCAGTGAAGGAAGACAACAAACTCCCAACACGGGCCCGGTCTCGCGGTTCCTTTAAAAGGGAGCATCTGTCGAGCATCTCCCAAAAGGTTGTAGACGCTGGAATAGGCTCAGATAGAGTTAGCTCGACTACGGATGTTGGTGGTCGGGTACGAGTCTCAACGCTGCGGAGTCAGCCGACACCACAGAGGAGTGTAACAAAAATCACGACCGCGGCGAAAGCCCACCAACCGTTCCGAGGCGCCGGCCCACACAGAGCTAGAGTACCGGCTTCATCTTTGAAAGCAATACTGCCAACGCAACCGATGGGGGAGGATTCCACTCACTGGGCAGGATTAATCCCACAAGGCAGGCCGAGAAGGAGCACGGGTTCTACCGAAAGCACGGACGAGCCATCACACTGTTCGGCGGCACGTCGTCGCAGGAGAGGAAGTACGGTTCAAGCGACGCTGGCTGAAGCACGCACTTCCCAGTGGCGACCTATAGGGCCTACCCAACCCATGGATAACACCGTTGCTTCTGTGGTCCTCGAAGCTACACAGAGTATGGATGAGGAGGTCGAGACATTCGATGCAAAAGAGGCTAATGGCCGTATCGATGGGTTGTGCATCAGTAAGGATGGTGACTCTCGTTCTTCGAATGGTAACGTACTCTCAAGCTGAGCGTCTTTTAGGTAGAACCCGCCCCTTGGAGACCTCTCCTGAACGTCCCGGGTCGAAAAAGCGGAAGACACCGAGAAGCAGTACGAGATCGAGCACGGCCTCGCAAGGATTGTCCCCGACGCAACCGATGAAGTATCGTGCGAAATCTTCCTTTTCAATTCCTCCAACGCAGCCTATGGCTGTCCGGCCTCACCGAGATCAGCCTACTCTTGACCAGCAGCGGATATGTCTCAATGCTGTTGGTGCCTCCAAACGGAATTCAAGTCATGCTCAGTGTTCATGATGAAACATATAATCATTCCAAGGATGTCTAATCCCATTTCGTAGCCTCATAAGTTGAGCGAACAACTCGGTGGAGCGAGGACCCATGATCGTGCGCCACGCAAAGCTCAGTATCAAAAATGAGGAAAAATTTTCGCATAGCGCCCGCGTTTCGTCACCCCAGTATTAAGTGTTGAATTCTCTGTTCTCTTTCTCGCGTGACAAAAACAGTGCTCTGGAAGGGACACACCACCGCGTGGTGGTGATATCGGAAAATCTGGTGATATCGGAAATTAGAGGACCACGAGTATATTATCTGATAAGAGAGTCTTTTCCTTCTCAAGGCAAACGAGGTGGATCGAACAAAGGCCGAGAGCAAGTCCCGCACTATCTCATAGTTGGAGAATTCGCCACAGTGAAGACAGGAGCCGATGAACTCAATGAAATATGATAGCTTGAAGTGTCCTCACAAAGATTCACATGCAATTAATCGGTCAGTCAAGCCACTCGGAATTTGCCTAGATAGGTGGTATGCTTTTTATTGTGGTGGCTCATAGATGAACAGCCCTCCTGTGACGAATATCACGACTGATGGTTGGTAAGACAACCTAGTCAAGGCAGTTGACTTTCTTCTCCAATCTGACTTCCCACTAAGCGCAGATGAATGAATCCGTCCCTGTCGAGCTGGTCAAGATAACGGAGTACTCCGCTCACGAGCAACGAGTTGCTATTATGGGTTCGTATC